CTGCGAGGCCAGGGAGGACACGCTGGAGGGGGACACTGATGTGCAGCTGCTGGTCGTCATGGCAGCCCCTATTGTTTTGTTTTGTTTTGTTTTGTTTTGTTTTGTTTTGTTTTGTTTTGTTTTGTTTTGTTTTGTTTTGTTTTACCTGAGCTAGCTTTAAACAGGCCAACTGCGGTGCGGCAAGCTGTGTAGCAACAATAACATGGAGCAGACTGGAAGCTGGAAATCTGCCCAGGGGCAAGATCAGTGGTTTGGTAGGTGACCTTTCCATTGGGAGAACAGCTATGGGAGGCCACAGCTTTGCAGCTATCAGCATTCAAGCCAACTAATTTCAGGCTAGCAGGGTGCTTCTGTGCCACCCAAAGCTGCAGTGAGCGTGATGGGTTGCTGGGAAGAGTTGCATTCATTGTTTCCCCCAGGCATGTGTGAGGACCTGTTTATCACTATGGTTCTGTGCCTGTGCTGTACAGAGAGGTTCATCCCTTGAGAGGGGGTTTGCAATGTGCAAATAATTATTACTGGGACAAGCACACGCACTATAGAAGAAGCTGTCATCTTCATAGGATTCCACTTCAGTTCATTCAATGTACTCTGAGGCAAAGTGTTTCGCAAGATCAAGTGTCTGTCACTATGTTGTGCAAAAAATGTTCTAGGAGATGTCTTAATTACTGAGAAAAAATGCAACTTTCAAATGCAACAGCAAAGAAAAAAATGTTGAAAAGCAATGGAAGATAATTTTACAAGAATTAATTTTTACCAGAGACTGAAGTATCCAGCTCCAAAAAGTCAACAGAAATTAGTACCCCCCTAAAGAAATAATGTCTAAGAAAAACCTGAAAGAATTGCTAGATGTTTCCTTCAGAGCTCTCTGACTTTCACTGTAATTTAAACTTTTTTTTTTTCAATTAGCATTCAGAATCCTACTTCTACTAGAGTTAACTTGTTCAGCTATTCCATTTCAAGTGATGGACAGTGCTGTTCCTCCCTGTCACCACCCAGTCCTCCCTATCTTTTGAAGAGAGACAGATGTTTTCTTGAGGGCTATGGGGCCACCATGAGCTGCTGTTCTCTGCAGAGCTGTGTGCTGGCACATCTCTCTCCTTGATATCTCAGAGATACACTTTTTTTGGAAGAATTTGTAAGACATAGAAAGATTTTAAAAAATGTAAGGGAATAAAAAGAGTTAGAAGACTTAGAAGAAACCCATGAAATTCTGGTGTTTATTTTGGGAAAATATTTAATTTGGTGTAATTGACAGAGAATTCAGTCTACTGTAATGACATCATCCTTAACATGTAGTTCAAATATTTCCTCAGGATATACAGAACTGTGAAATAGAATAACTTTAATTCTGAATGAATAGAAAAGAAGAAAATTAAGTTCATCTAGGTCACTGAAAGGACATAGATTTTTTTATTTGACATTATCATTTGAAAAGACAAAACAGAGAATTGTTGAGTACCACAACAAGCTAGCATGCTAAGGTTTGTACAGTTGTAGGCTACAGATAGGAAGACAATCATGTAAAGTCTAAAATATCTCTGAATCTGTGGAATAATATAAAAAAGTATATTTGACAAAAATTTCCTTCACAGAACTACTTCAGGGATGGTAGACAATATCATCACGGTGTTATGAGAAAACAACTCTGATCTATTACAGATAGGGGAGATGAAAATGGAATATTTTTTTAAAAAGAGTGATGATTGATTTATTCACTGTGTAGGTGACCAAAGGAAGTTGTGATTTGCATGCTGCAGAATTCATATAGGCATTTGTACTAAAACTTTGAGAGCATAGAAGCAGTTTAAGTCCAGGTTATTAGCTCCTTATTAAGGGTACAGAAAGGCTAAATTGCCTTTCAAATTTACTAGTCTCCTTTTTTCATCCTAATAATAGTTTTCTTTTTTCTGCCATTACAAATGTTTATCTAATTTCAAATCATAGAAGATCATTTCTCTAAGCTGACATTTTAGTTTTTGAAAAAATAATCTATTTCGATATATCATCACTGGACCCTGGTTCAGAAATTAAAGGATTCCGATCCTGTCAACATGTAATAGAAAATGAGCACATGTAATTAATAGATTTGTGAGAAATCTTTAGAATTTTGTCTAAATGTCTGAATTTTGGTAGTATTTCACAATGGCACAGGTGCTATTTTCTGGTTTGAATCATGTTATTTAATATAACGATATTGAATCTGTTGCACATCTGTGATAAACATCTCTCTGTTTATTTTCAGTGTATTTTGATGATTTGCTCCAACAGGTTCCTTTTGGAAAGAAATTAAGTAGAGATGCCAGTTCAGCAAATAATATCTTTTCATTTCTCTTTTTCAAGAGTCACTGAAGACCCTTCGTAATCTCATATTTTAAAGTTCATTTTTCAAAGTTTCAGTTTTCTGTTATAGAGTCTGGGAGTCAAAAAGCCCCACAACAGCCACATCCCATACATTTTGGACTTAGGCAAAATGTTTTTTAAAAGCTTACTATGGACCCCTAATGTCCCCTTGCAATGAAAGGACTGGGTCATACTTTTTTTACTCTTGAGTTGCTATTTCAAAAATTGAAACCAAAAGGAGAACATGAGTGCGGACTGTTGAGAAAAATGTCTGTTTGAAATTCCACCGGTCTTGGTATTTGTTATCTTCATCTGGGGAGCATGCATAATTTTTTCCTTAAGTGATTATAGAGGACAAGGGATGAATTCCTCATAAGCAAATTATTTCATTATATTGATCTAGTACATCTACCTGCAACAAAGTGATTCCACTACAGATGATTTAGCAGTGATTTAGTTCAAACTACTGTCAGGATGAAAAATGTTTTGAATTAATACTGTTCGTGTAAGGAACAGGGTCAGACAGAGATATAGGGAACTGTCATTTGTACATAAATCTAAGTGCTATTTTATATGATCCCCAGCTACTGACAAGAAGCTGTTTGATAGCTTGCTGTGTTCTCCCTTTTTTCCTCCCCTCTTTGTTTAACCTTTATGCCATGGACACATTTTTCCTCCTTGCGCTGCTTTTTGCATATCCAATTCAGAGCTATCCAGGCCATGCTTGACCTTGATAGACTGTACAGTCTTTACTAGTTAATCCCTTGTGTATAATTATTAATTTACTTTTATTTTACCAGATTTGGCCTTGACTGGACTCACTAGGTGGTCTCAGAAGCCCCACATGACATGGGAAGCATGGGAACAGTCTCCCTGTCAGTGGCTTGGCTGCTGCAAATAATCTGGGATTTACCAATAAAGACTAGATTGGAGGATGAGGAAAGGAGCAATACCTCAATGAAAGTGTATCCCCTAAACTCATGGAACCTTTGAGGTTGGAGAAGAGTCCCACGATCCTCAAGCCCAGCCTTTGACTGATCACCACCTTGCAAAATAGACCCTGTCACTAAGTGATAGGTCCGGTCATTTCTTGAACACTTCCAGGGATGGTGGGTGACTCCTCCATCTCCCAAGGCAGTTCACTCCAGTCTGTTCCAGTTCTTTTGCACTGAGTAGGCTGGATAGCTCTTCCCTGGGAAACCTATATTCCCATCTATAATATAGTCATGATGGATGCTTGTTTCTATTAAAAGTGTGATATAGGATCCAAATTAGTAATACAGGTGCCGTGCTCAGGCCATTTTAAAAGTCGAATTATGTGTAGGCCTGGTAAGGCAAATTGCCCTGCATAGTGCCCTGACCTGTGTCAAAATGGAAAGTTGAGTACATCAGGGGAAGCAGATCCCTGTGCTCCTCAAGAAAAAGGTGTCTGACATACACAGAGACCCTAATCCTCAGGTAACCAATTTTACTGTTTTAGAATGCTGTTTGTACCTCACAGGCTATAGGATGGAGCCACGGAGAGCTTGGTGGATTGCAGGAATGTCGCATGTTCATAAAAGCTGACAACTCCCCTTTGAAAGTGAAAGGTGTTTCTCACATTTAGGAGAAAAATAAGGGAGGCTCCCTGTACAGAGCAAGGGGAGTTAAGCTTTCTTCTCATTCTGGGCCTTCAAAAGGTCATTGCAGAAAGTGTTGTAACGCAAAGTGATTTTAACCTGCCTCTGCTAATGTGACATTTGGAGCATGGCTGTGGCAGTCTGATGTGACAGCAGGCAAATGTTGCGTTGTGCTGTGTTAGTAAATGGCAGACAGCCTGGTAAAATGAGGGACTTATTCATATATTTAGTCTGTGCTTCTCCTCTCCAGAGGAAAAGACTTTGAAAAGTCTCTGAAGTGTGAATCCCAAAGGTCAGTAAATGCACAAAGGCCTTGTTGAATTCAGAGAAGATAATAGAATTTAAAAAAACCCCAATTTCTGGTATTTCACATCCTGAAAATGTTAAGTAGATTTAAGACTGCGGTTGTGTACAGATGCTATAAATCATCAAAAGCTTTTTAACTGCTCATATCCAGGTTTGATAAATTCAGCTGACAACCTAAGTGATAACCTGTAGCCAAATGCTAGATTATTGCCTGTGTGTTACAGGTTCATTTTTCAGCACTTTAGAACTACTTTAATCCCTGAAAGACTCAGGTAGCTTTAGTCCATCTGATTTACTGTGCTAGATAAAATCAGTGGTGCACATAACTCCAGTTGTGGACTGTGGAGAAAGTGGGGTTTACAGAAACATTAGTTGTGGAAAAGACCATGGGCTCGCAAGCCATAAAAATGTAGATAGGTATCCTTTGGATATAGAATGCCCTACTGATGCCATGGACCATTGTGTAAGCTAAATATTTCATCCCTTGTCTGGTCTTGAGTTGGAATTCTGCTTCTGTTTCCCTTGTTAATACATATTTCCATTATCTTTTTAAATGAAAATTCAGATTACTTTTTTAGCTCTCTATGATCTATCTATTTGTATGGAAGTGGCTGGCTAAATGAAAGGAATATAAAAGATAAAATGTTTGGGGGAAAGACAACTGAGTTATGCTTTTTCATTTCTAAGTCACTCAAGAATTTTGAAAATGCCACCCAAAGTAGATTTTCCCAAGGATTAGCTCAGTTGGTCAGAGCATGGTGTTATTAATGCCAAGGACGTGGGTTCGATCCCCACATGGGCCATTCACTTAAGAGCTGGACTCAGTGATCCATGTGAGTCCCTTCCAACTCAGGATATCCTGTGATTCTGTAAAGATTGCTGGCAGCCAAGTCAACCTAGACATGCCCCATCCCAAATGGAGCAAAGCTGAAACCCAGCTTTTTTAAGATGTAGTAGCCAGAAAAATGCATCTCCCTTGGCTTCATAACTGGAGATTTGAGCATGTAGACATATTTCCAAGCTCTTCCTCCCTTAGACATCTGTTGTGACTGGCAAAGGAGATCTGGCCAGAATAATGATAGTGGGTTTTGTGCTCTTTTACTGAATAATAGAGTAACAATCTAGGTAGGAGCATTGCAAAGTTCCTCAGCTCTGCCTTGTGAAATTTAACGTAGAGATTTACTTAGCATTAGATCCTAAAAGGAATAAAAGTTTATCTTAAATGATCTGTCAGGTTCAATTTATTCACATTAATTGGCCTGGAGCTCTTCCATTTAGCAAAACCTTGGCTGCTCTTGCATGGGCAGAGTGCTTGGAAGGAAAGGCTCTTTTTGCTGCCTAAAGACGTGCCCATGCAAAGCTGTCCAACTAGCATCCCTGGCAGGGCTTCCTATCCCACAGGACCATGGACAGATGTACTGGGAGAGTAGCTTTGGGCCTTCACAGTCTGCCTACATACCTCCTGGTGCTGGGCAGCAGATCCTACAGAAATGTGTACTGCCTCTTTCATGACAGATTTGAGGAATTCAAGAAATGACTGGACCTGGCAATTGATGCCAGGGTCAAGTTGACAAGGCAGAGATCATTCAAAAGTTGAACTCCATGATCTTGGAGATCTTTTCCAACCTAACTGATTCTGTGATTTTTGTCATTTCAAGCAACCTTCTTGCCTCAAACAGCACAGCCATGGCCAGGCATGGGTAATGGGGGCAAGGTGCACTCAAGCCTTTGGGCAGATGCCAGCTGTGGACTCTGGACATGCATAAATTATGCATGTTGGAACCTCAGGTGTGGCAGTGCTTCTCCTGAAGTTCAGAAAACTGCAAGCTGCAGATGCAGAGAATGGAGACAAGAGATTATTTCTAAGCCTCTGCAGCATCTGTTGCTTTGCACTTTCACTGGCTCACTAATAAATAGACTAAAAGAACAGGTGTAAAAGTGCTCATCAGAAGTCTTCATTACAATAGAATTAATTGATCTCATGACTATCTGTAATTTACATTCATTCAAGAGGCCCTCATTCCAGCTGACATTCATATTCTCATCATTTTGGATAAATTTAGGATGAAATATTTATACTTTATTTAAGACTACATATATTCCTCTTGTTTGCTTTCCTTTAATCTTGGCATTGCAACTGTTATTAAAAACAAGCAAAAAGTGGAGAGACAGGAGTAAGGGAGTGAAATGTTCCATTTGCATGTCATAAACCAAGTACTCAAATTATTATTTGAAAGTACAGGACAAAAACAAAAGTAAAAACTCACAAATAGTTTTTCCCTCCATTCTAAAGTATAAAATTACTAATGTTGAAAATCTCTCACAATGAGAAAGTTACATGCAGCTGAGGTAAACTCAATTCAAGGTCCAGATAAAGAAAACTGGAATAGTCTGTGCTGGCAGACCTGATTTTAACTGGATGAGATATTACGTCATGGGGTGGCTTTTAGTCACTTTGCATTAAGAAAGTGAAATTCTGTCCCTGTTTTACATTGCTCAGGATGGGGATGGAAACACAGAGTTGAAATATTTCATAATGTTACTCTAGTTCAGTAAAACTGTTTGCCACTTAGCATTCCAAATAGTTTTTTGACTAAAACAGAAATGGGAAAGCTGCCCAAGATGCACAGAGAGGAAATACAGTCTTCAGAGTTCTCAGAATTTTCCCTTTGTCAATCTTTTTTATTCATTTTTGTTGATATCCATGCAGAACAGAGAACTGTTAAAAAACTAGACCTTGAAATCTAGGTTTAATTCTTGCTGTGGTAAAAATGCTAGGAATTTTACAATTGGCTGAATTGTATATAAAAAATAGTGATATGCATATACTGTTATCTCAGATTTGACATTAGCATCATATGATGTCCTCTTTGTATATTTATAGTACCACCATGTGTGTATTTTCTATTCCTTATAGAAGGCTGGTAGTAATCAGTCCCTGGAATAGTGGTAAATTCCTTTGTGCTTTGACTAGAATATCCTCCTGTGTATTCCCTTTTCTGAGATAGTATGAGTTTTCTGGGAATTGTCCTCATATGAGATTTGTTAATTGCTGTTCAAGAAATTGCCACAGATTTCCCAAACTAAAAGATGTGGGTGCCTTGTAAAGGTCTGAAGCTGGAGGAGAGGTTCTTAGCTTGTACACGTGACAGGTTTCCATCCTATACTACAATGTAATAGCCATTCTCAATGATGGGATTTTTGTCTGTGATCCATAATTATGAGGGTAAAGAAGGATTTAGGGGACTATTGGACTTAGGGGACTATTCAGATTACATGTTGGCCAGATCATCAGGTAACTCTATGTAATGGTCATAGAGAAGAAACTGCCAGGACAGTTATGCCATACACATTTCATTTTTCAAAACAAGCTAGCTAGATGATGGTGGATAATTAATCACAATGGAATAACCAAGGACAAGCAAAACTGAATAGCTGTTTCTCTTTTTGATCTGCAATGGATCTATAAATTGTGCTGTTACATGAAAATCAATAGCTGATCTGTTAGATGGATAAAACCCAAAGAACAGATGAAATATAAATGAAGCTGCATCACACTGAATTGGGTCAAATCCCATTGGAAATGGGTCAGGCCTTTAGGAATCATTCCCTACTGTTGATTATAATGAGTGCACAAGGTTTTAAAACCAGCTTACAGCTTTTAATCAGCAGTAGCTTATGGTATGATGAATTACTGCTGTGTATGTGCTGTAATTAAACAGTGCTTTATGAAGACACTGTAGTGGTAACAATAAACTCTGAGACTGATACAACAAAGTTCTGAATCCATCCTGAATTATTAAATTGATGGGCATTCAGCCTTCAGCATCTCACACAGTCAAACCTGTAATGCAACAGACAGCACAAGAGACATTGTTTTGCACAGGGATTAAATATTCGTCTGTGACTGTAGCAGCTTTTAAATTTTTAAGGTATTGATCCCCAGCCTACTTTGATCTTATATAATCTGAAGCAATGTTAAGTACCCAAAATATAGAAATTATTTTCTTGAGCCATATGAAATACAAAACTTTATTTCCTTCAAGAAATGAAGTTATACCAGGTGTGTGATGGCCTGCTGCAGTGCCTTCTTCTAGGACTACAAGTGAAAAAGGTCTACATAGAATTTATTTCTTGCTAAAGTGTCTATACGGTTAATTGTGTGTCATTTTGAATGGGGATTTTCATGGATTGGTTTTAAGGTTTTTTTTGGTTTTGACAAGTGTACATATTGACTCTGCTTGCCAGGAAAATGAACTTCCAAATTTCATTAATATATCTGTTTTATTTGATAACTGAATATTTTAGTTAGTTTACCAATTAAATGGTAAAAATGTAGATCCACAAGCTGTTCCTCAGATGTTTGCTTGATCTTTTTTTCCCTGCATGCCCATATTTACACCAGCATTTATCTGCTCCAGACTTGCACTAAAATGTGGCACATCTAAACTACATTTCAGCCCTAATATCTCAGGACAAATTGTTTTCTGACAAAATGCAGCACTGCTCAGGATGTCCCCACACACAGCAGATAGACCACCTACATAAAAAGTGCATAATTCAGATGTAGTTCCAACCTCCGCTCACTGTAGAAAAAGAATTTGCATCAAAACCTCCTTTATTCTGAAGTTACTGAACTGCTCCTGAGATATATCTGAGGTGAATTTCTAAGACTTTCATGCTTATTCTTTTTTGCTATGCATAAATAACTAAATATTAATTTACCACAAAGAAAGAGCAAAATGACAGTCCAGAAGCTGGGGCATTAATCTAAACAGAGGGAGAACTGATTTTGGATCCCTCATCCAGATTTTTCTGAGAGGGAACTTAAACCATTATTTGATGAATCTCAGAGGAATGTTCCTGTTACTGATCTAGGATGCTGAGTGGAGCTAGCAGAAATTCCTCTTTCTTGTCACAAAAGTATTGGGTCAGATCTAGAACATATCTGCACTGTTAATTATGCCCATATTTGGTTTTGACCTTAGTGCCTAGGTCATTGAATCTCCTGGCTAACACAAGTGGAAATAGTAATGGAAATTCCTTAACTTATATTTGAACAGTCATAGACCTTTGAATTATTTTATTAACAGGAAAAGGTAAATAATTAGCTTAAATTGGTTTAATGGTAGGAAATGCCAAGAAAAATCTTAAGCCCAAATATATCAATGCAACAGGAGTCATCTCTGGCTGATCTCAGTGTTTGTTGTCTGTGTGCTGCACTCTATTTGTACAGGTGTAAGTGACAGCAGGATTATTTTTTGTGAGAAGGTATTGTTTTCTTTAGTGGACTCTATGAAAACCTTTCTTTCAAACATTTGTCCTTCAACTCTCTTCAAAGCTATGCTGCTACGTGCAATAAATCATTGTGTAAGAAGGGAATAACTTATTAGTTCTGTGTTTGTTTTCCTTCACCCTTTTTTTGTAAGGAGGTCATCTCAGGAGATGAAACCTGTGTTGCATGTGATATCCATGAAAATTCAAACAATTTACCCAGATATTTGCATCTGGGTAAGTTGTCCTGAACAACATTGCATTTTAAAGAAAGATGCAGACAATTCCAGAATGAAACTAAATGTTATCCTTTGGTATGAGTCTATAGGAAATCAAGCACATCATACTCTATAAGTGCCTGTCTTCCTCAGATTTTTGACAGAGACCCCAGACAAGGTAGCTGTGATATACACCATACCCATTGAAATTTGGGCAGAGGAATCCCACCAAATTACCTTCTAACTAATAAATAGTGTAGTGGGTCTAGAAAGGAGGAATTAACTTTGGAAATAAGTTAAATGGAGCACTA